ATGTTTGATAAACAAAAGAAAAAGAGAGAATTTTTGGTCGCTACTTTTAACGTGACAGTGTCCATTTTTACCCTTTGTATGTTGTATACTGAGGATACTTTTGTGGGTGCTTTTTACGTGTGAATAAACAGAAGTGGAGAGCGAGAATAATTGCTATCTGATGGTATATTGCAGACTGTAGCCCGAATTATTTCATGTGGTTAACAGAAACCGAGAGAAATAATTATGATTATGACTTGATACTGCTGGATAATCCAAATAAGTTAACATTTAATTTAGTTTATATATTTAAAATCATGATTTATAATTTTAATTTTTAAAATTTAAATTCTTTTATGAAAAAAAAATATTATAAAAAATTATAAATTATGATTCAAAATCAGAGACAGATAAACAAACATCTCCTAAGTGATTTCATAGACTACTCTCATTGGATATTAGAAGATGAAATATATAAATATATATAGGGCTTTTGTTTCTCCCAGGTAGAAGGTCTCTCTACGTACCATGTTATTGCATGTAATATGATGTTAGAGAAAGTAACACTAAAAAATTTAATCATCTAAAAATTATATTATTTCTCTGCAACATCGATTTAATAATTATTATGTTACATTTTTATAACTATAAGTTACCTGGAGGGAACCTTCACAGGAGAAACCGACCCAAAAAAAAACCCCTGTATATACACACGCCGAAAACTGACGGAGAAATAAGAAATTGATGGAATCCTGAATGTAGTCAGAAGTGCATGGTGGTGTAAATACTCACTGTGCACAAACGTCAAAACCCTAAGCACGAAAAAGGAAAAATATGAAAATCTGGAAACATAAATTAGTTTCTGGGTCAGGTATGATTTCACGAGAGAAGGGAAATAGGAGGAAGCTGAAAAGCCCTTTTGGGAGAGAAAATGGTGGGACTAGGAGGAAGCCGAAACCCCGCTTCCCCTTGCATTTAAGACAACATTTCTGTTATCTTTACTTACTATCACGCAATATTTCATTTTTTCAAGACATGAATCACACAACTTACTGAAGCAGCATCCGAAAAAATAAATTATCTAACGTCCTGAGTCATGATGTTTAACATTTTCAATATCATACAAACCATGAGAAGCAATAAAATATTTACCAAGAACATAAGAAACGAAAACAAAATTCCTAAAAAAAAAAAAAAGAAAAAAAAAAGATAAAAACACTTTCACCCTTCACATTCACTAGCGTGGCATATAAAACACATTCACTAGTGTGACATTCTCACATTATCCGTCGAGGAAACCTCAATTCGGAAGTGTACAGCCTAGCATATATATACATGCAATCCTACTATTAGTTCAGTAATATGCCAAAACAATTAATATTACAATTAGGGCGTTGTGATATTTAAACTTTATTGTATCCTAATTCATATGTTTGTGTTGTATCCCTAATCCCTAGAGTGGACAGCATGTACGGATTCACACTAATTCTTAGAAAGAGCAAAACAAAATATAACCTTCTTTAGCTCATGAAAAATAACACATTCAACAAGTACCACTCAATAGATAACAACTTCAATACAAGGTAAAACCATCCAAACTCCAAATTATGCCTAGTTAACTGCACCATTGATCTATTTGGTAGACAACAAATAGAATTCATAATTAAAAAAAAAAAAAAAGGAACACTAAGAAGAAAACAAGAACCTATAAAA